GAGGGGGGCGCGCGGGGGGAGGGGGGGGGAAGGAGAAAGATTCCCTGGAAAAATTGTGCACCTGAAGGCCTAACTTTTACATGCCTTTTTGATTTGTTAGTAAAAACACGAACAAAGCTTTGTTGAAATATCGGAATAGGCTTAATGACCTTCACCATAAAACAAAGGAGGAGGAGGAGGGGAGGGGGGGGGGTTGGTATTTGCGGTTCCTTCCACCGCCAACTAGGATGCCTACAGCTTTAAGCTGTTAATGGGAAATCTAGCTGACTTAATTTGGTCGGAGTTATCTGAGGTAAATAAATGAATTGATTAAAATTCCGTGTAAACAAAAGGATGTCTCCATTTTGGTCATGATGGTCGGTCATTATTATTGCTAGTCAACTGCTATTTTAAAATCGCAAATCTCTCATGGTGCGTATTTAAACAAAGATAACTCTATGTTGTTATGCCCTCGCGTATTTGTCATTTTCGCTAGTGTTTTATTAATAAACAGTTGGACCAATGTAATGCTTTTAATTAATTAAACAAATTCAAATAAGTTAAATAGGTCTTTTGTTACAGCGTTCCTAAGTCTACTTCAAAAATATTATTTGTTTATGGAAGGAATACGTAATACAACAGTCATTAAGGATGATTACAAGTGTTATTATGAATTGATGAGTACTTGCCGATAGGAATAATACATTTATAAGCAAGATAAGTCAGTCTGAGGGAAAATTAGTGTCTAATGCTTCCATTTTTCCAATTTCATCAATGCTACTACTTGCCCTTTCTCTACAACAACTGATCTCTCTGGGAAAAATAGATTTTGATAATTATTTTGATTGGCGGAACGGAAATTGGGGGGGGGGGGGTGTGGAGGAGTTGGGGCGGGTAGAGGGGGGGTGTTTGTTTGGCGTGAAATCGGCCGAGCTGCAGTGAAGTTGCAAAATGAATAATTGTTTGCGCCGCTGCCATATGCCTTATGCTCTCCCAATTTTGGGTTTTGGGACCTGAAAACTCTATGCGCAGTTGTAATTGTTTGATAGTTACTCGCCCGTTACGCATTTGGCTCAAAATATTTCAGATAGAAATATGATATATATATATATATATATATATATATATATATATATATATGAGGCTTAACTTTAATTCACCTAATGTTCAAATTTGGTAGTCATTTGGCTGTTAAAGTTAATATTTATCATTCTTAACGATTTACCTTGCCTTATCTTTCAAATTGCTTCTATTTAAAGAACTACGACTCTGGTACGGAAGCAAATAATTACATATTTTTGTCAAATTCAAACCCATGAATGAAAGTAAGCAAGATAATTTACGATTCGACTAATTTTTAAATAACTGGTACCTCAAACCCTAGTTCCTTCATTTGTTGACCACAAGTGAATCGATTTGGAGTACTGCTAAGCCAACATGTCAAACAGCATAATTTCGCCGAGGTTTAAGTTTAATTTTAAGCCTTCTCAAAAAATCGTTTACCGAATAGGCATACGGCGAATTTGTCCAAAAAAGGCCAGACAATGAGTGATCTTCAGGTTGATTTCGCTTGGTTAATGAAGTCCCTCTAAACATTTCACGAAGTCGGATTGCCAATTGCAGGAATTCGCACTTTAACACCTTCGCTTTTTCGGAAATCTCATCCACAACCATTGCTTTGATATAAGCGGACACAGTTATACATTCTCTTGAAACACACGCTTTTTAAATACGCACGTTGATTGGTCAGTTGCATTACGTTCAATTATGTCTGTAAACCTATTAATGCTTTTTATGAGACCGTTTGGCAAGTTGCCAAATTTTAGTAAGTCATCTAATAATGGGATATACCAAGCGTTGACTATAAAATTACAGTTCATATAAGGTGTGGCATGATTAATGATATTCTCAAGTTAGAGGAAATAGTGTGAAATGCTTATTTTCCAGTTTATAAACCGATGCAATGTTTAAAACTTTTCGGGAAAGATGAATTTTTATTAACGATACAATTTTGCTTTAAATCCATCTTACAAGTGGAGCCTAATGCGATTACCGAGTAAAATTAGGGAGATTCATTCTTAAAAATGGAATATTTTTTGCACATCTTCATTTGTGGTTTGGAGCGCTTTGCACCACAACTATTTTTTACTTCGAGTTCATTCTACTTTTTAGAAAATTAGCGAAAATATTTCTGGAAGCTTCTTCGTTCCCATTTGCCATTAATTAATCCCATTCAATCTGAATTTGTCTGGTTGTGGAAGGAAGCGTGCACCTGACCACATCAAATTTATAAATTCGCTGATCGTGCCCTCGCCATGGAAACAGATCTGTTTATCGTTTTATGTTGCCGAAATTGATTTATTAACGACATAGCTAGACGGATGCTAATCGGTTTTGTGATTTGAAGTTTCCAATTTTATTGATAATTGGTTTTTAGAGCTATTGGCATGCATTTCAAGGCGTTTAAAAATATCAAATTGCAGTCCAGATAGAATTAAATTAGCTGAAGTATTACTTTGCTTAAATAAATCCACCTAATTCAATCTCTTGACTTACAAGTCAGTTTTAATTTGTGGATTGACATTGTGTTGCGTGTCAAATGTTATGCTCCACCATTCAGCAAAGTTTGCACCAATAAATCGTAAAAATGGGTTATACCTTTTTTTATAAACCGCTTGGTTTCTTTTGCTCAGTGCCATAGTTCAAATAATGGAAAACGTGAGAAATTACTCGAACAGAAAATTATTTTTTCACTTTTTACTTGGCGAATAACTTCTCATAATTTGGAAAATTTATTCCATGTTCCAGTGTGGTCTGAAGCCACTTTAGTGAATTATTAAATACTCATCACAACTTCTCTTTTATGTATTTTCCGAATTATATTTTTGCTTCAAAATTGGATTTAATAAGCTAAAAATTTAAATAAATTTG